TCGCAAAATAATTTTGAAATATTGTAAAATTTTATTATTTTTGTTTTTTGTAAGTTAAAGTTTTATTTCCTTACAGTAACGAACAAAAGTATTGGCACAGTGAATTTTTCGCAATATAGGCAAAGTATTTTTTAGAAAAATTTAAGTATGCAGTTTAATAATCCATTCAATTTTAGTTTATCAAAGTGCAAGTTTGAAGTTGCTTGAAAATCTGAATATAAAATTGCAAATTAGTATGCAGATTTATTGAATTTTCCTGAGTTTTTCACAAAGTTTACACATTTGATTTTTATGTGTTTGGTGTAGTATGAACTAGAGATGGGCGCGGTACTGAATTAAAATTGGCCGGGATGGGCGGTATCGGGAAGATCTGTAAAAATAAAGCGGGTGGGACGGGACCAAAATCCTTTCCCGACACTGCCGATAAAACCGCAACCCCCGCAAATTCACAAAATCTTCCTTAAAAACGATTTTGAAATATGCACTTTTAATGTTTTATTGAGACGAAAAAGAAAAAAAATTATAGGAAGATGCCAGATCCTTCATTATTATTTAAAATTAAAATGAAAGACATGAACATTTTTGTGAACCTTCGATCGGTTTGTAAACCTCGCCACACACGTTGTAATCTCAACCGCTCGTTTCAATTTGTTGTCCGTGTGTAGCCTGCTTTAGAGATAGATATCGGGACCCACGGGACCCGCGGTACAATTCAGAAAAATATCGGGATAGGCGGGTTCGGGACTTAAAAATCGAATTTCGGGATGGGCGGGGTCGGGATTAAATATTTAGTCCCGTGCCCATCTCTAGTATGAATTATGTTTTTATAAAAAATTATCAGAAAATAGTTAAAAACTTTGCATTTATGTAATGCGAAAATTCACTGTGCCAAAACTTTTGTTCGACACTGTACATATAAAAAAATACATACAGTAATTTCTCCTGTTACAATAGTAAAAAATATGTAATTTACTTTGTAGTGCAATCTTGCGGTTCTTTAAATATATATCAGAAATAAATTTGTCGTATCAATAAACTCCCAAGCACAGGTTTGTATTAAAAAAAAAACATCCGTAGCAGTTTATTAAATATTAACCTGCATATTTTATCAATTCGTCGGAATATTTTTTTATGTATGTTACCGCATAACTTTGGACTACGTTACCCGTTTTCTATAATTCTTTTTTAATGGAAAGGTGGTTCCTCAGAGGTATTCTCCTACTAATTGAGTGTAGATCCCATAATTGGGCCATGAAGAAAATAACAGTACTCTTAAATTTGTATATAAGAATTGAAGACGGTTTTGTTTTTTGTTTAAAATTTACTGCAGTGTCCACNTCGTCGCCGTTCGCAGCAATTGGGTTTGCGAAACACATTTCGAACCGAACACTGATTTTGGTAATAAAATTCAATGATTTGCAAGCGTTGCTCGTTAGTAAGTCTATTCATGATGAAATGTCAAAGCATACTGAGCATCTTTCTCTTTGACACCATGTCTGAAATCCCACGTGATCTGTCAAATACTAATGCATGAAAATCCTAACCTCAAAAAAATCACCCGTTATAAAAGAGTCGTATGAACTGCTTCGCCTAATACTTCGGCTTTTGTTCTATTTTTATCTCGAGGTTAAGTGCATTGTTTGATGGGGGATATCATTGCCAAACATGATAGTACTTTGTTTGCCATCAATAAACACTAATTTGACGGAGTTACAGTATTCCACATCGATGCGAGCCTCAAAAGCTTTGAATAACATTTGCGAGTTTTTACCGCTCAGGTAGGTGGCAGGCCTATAAAAAATATTTCTTAATCAATAATGTTTCAGATACTTTTCGTTTGACACCTATATTATAATACATACTTTATCTTATTAGCGTAATTGAATTAAATTTTCGAAATTGGTGGCAACCCGACTCAAAAATATTTTCAGTAGTAAGATACCCATATTGCAATATTTAGTTTATCTTACCAATTTAATTAAAAAAATTTTGAAACAGGTGGCAAAAACCAACCATGCAATAAGGCTGACATATAAAAAAAAAAATCCCTCGAAACCTTTCGCTATTTTGATGCCATATGGCGTCATGCTTTTTTGAATACTCACAATTTAACTGAGCTTATCTGAAATTATATTTTTATATGCAACGCTGTAATGGGAAGTTTTATAGACTATATTTTAGTACGGTATTGTTATTTGTATCCATAGTAGATGAAAAATTTCAATTTTAAAACTTTACTAAAATATCGCTTTTCTTCTGCTTAGAAACGTCTACATTAAAATACAATATTTTACCAAATAACCCAATAAATTAAAAAAATAAATAAATATGCNAAACAAATGTAAACAAACAAACAGCTGTTTACAATTCCGCCACCATTCACAATAGTACAAATTTTTATCGATCAAGTTACACAATAGCAAAATAAAAGATGATCGACTCGATCGACAAATTTCTATTCTACTGCCAGTCGACACTCCCAATAGGGGCCATAGTCTCCAAAATAGTGTCAAATATTGCTAGAACTTGTAATTTAATTTAAAAAAACCTAATAAACGCGTGGTATATTTTTAAATTTGTATGATGCCATATGGCATCAATGATATTTGAAGGAGCTGAAATCCGCATCAGCAAATAACGATTTATTTGTACTGGTAAATTGCAACTGGTAAATTTTTTAAATAAATTATTAAATCTATGCATTTTCCAACTTGTTTTATTGAATTTTCGTAGTGTTATTTCATTTAATTTAAATAAAATAAAATACTATATTAAAAAATCTTTGCGCATTTTTTTCACCATATGGCATCATTCTAAAAAACACTTTGGAAAAAAATTAAATTGAATGTTATTAAGTTAAGTATTAAAGATCATTTAATAAAAAAATCGATTTTTAAAGCCCGAATCTAAAAAGATGTACCGAAAGGGTTAAAATTTTTTAATGTAGCTGATTGACTAATCCTTATTAATACATACAAATTTGTAAACTAAATATTTCCATTTGAAAAGACAATCTTAACTAATAGTCAAATATAAATTTAGTTTAGTAAGTCGAGTGAAGTACCAAACTTACATTTTTTCACTTGCTTTCATGCAAATAGAGGAATATTAACTGGAAATCGACAACTGAGTAGAAGATCGACGTATCTCGGCAGCCAGTTCGAAAACGCCCTATTTCAGAAAACTTTTCAAGAACGCCCTATCTCAGAACTCGGTTCAAAAGCGTCCTATCTCATCACATTTTCAATACATTTTCAGTTGAGATAGGGCGTTTTTGAACCGAAATCTGAAATAAGGCTTTCTTAAACCAAATTCTGGGATAGGGTGTTTTCAATAAAATTCTGCAATAGGGAGTTCTTCAATCAAATTCTGAAGTAAGGCGTTCTTGAAAAGTTTTCTGATATAGGACGTTTTCGAACTGGCTACCAGATAGGTTGATCTTCCACTCAGGTGTCGAAATATGACTACTATTTTCTTACTACGGAGATATGTATGTAAGCCAGGCGTATAAAAAATTAATAAATGTGAAGTAAATACATATCGTCGCCCTTTTCCAGAAGCATGAATGTGCAAATTTATCAATTTTGAGTTATTGGGTTGACTTGATTAACCTATGTCCTATGTTATACCAAAACCCAGAATATCGTGCGTACACGGAAACCGCATATTTCACAATGTCAATTACATAAATGCAGAGTTAAGTCTCGTAAAAAATTCAAACTTGATTTCCTAAAATTTTAATTTTTACACACTCATGTTTCTGGCATGCGGGGAACGATATGTACTTGCCCATTTGTTTTACAAAAATTATTTAAAAAGTAGACGTCTCGGTTGCACAGCAAACCGGTTAATCGTTTCTGCATTTATCTATTTAGTAATACGCTAACGAAATCCCATACAAATCTATTCCTCCCTACTGCTCCTATGTTGCTCAACCGATCTGAATTATTCTTCTTTTGTTCGAAAAGTGTTTCAAAGAGGAGGCGCGCATTTTGTTTGTTTTTCCGGTGATTCTAAAAATTTTAAAATATGTATACCGGCTAATTTTGTATCGTTCAATTCCAAATTACATTAGCAAATTTGCAACTATTGTGTAAGGGACAATCTACTATTTTTACACGTAGAGATTGAGGTGTTGACTTAAAACACCGAGACCGCGTGTTCAAATCCCGCCACATGCAATCCTAACGATAGTAAAAAATTCCTGTTTTTTAAAGCACAATTTATATCGGAAAGAATTATTAATCACATTATCTTTGTAATTTGAGTTTATGACATGCGATACGATAGTAGGGTTCTGGTACTCGATTCAAAAAATATCATAAAAAAATATCCGGTATCGAATGCCAAAAGTATCGATATGGTGTCGTATCGTATCGAAATTCGTGTTCCTAGTTGGCAGTTGATTTGACAGCTGTCAATTGTCAAACTAAAAATTGTATGGCATATTCGGATTTAGCATAACAAAAATTCTCCGATACAGCAGGTTTGTTATAATCGCAGCAGCCCTTCTAATTTTTCGCATAAAACAGCTTCTCCGACCACTATGCGACGCCGCCCTTGCGCAAGCAGAATATTTCGGCATCACGTCATGCGCTGCTAGCTGTATGCACTCTTTTGATTGGCTGGTTTACAACTAGAAATTTTAAGTCATGAAGCGTGGAAAAAAGGCGTAGTTATGGAAGTGACTTTCCAAACAATTTTTATATAAATACACAGGTTTCATATTGTTAAATAAAATTAGAATATTTATGACAAGACAATATCTTGTAGTTTATATTCTCACAGTTTTCGGTATCCTCACGGCTGCCTAATGTTTAGCAGATGCAACTCTGCTGTCTCAATATTAAGTGGTTTAATCATAAAATAAATTATCTTGCCTTAGGACTACAACCCCAAAGAGGTGAGGAATAACAACTGTCTTGGTTATTATTGTTTAATAAGTTATAGAAATAGTGTTACAGAAAACGGTGCAATAATACAATGTGTTAACAAGTTACCTTAAAGGTGCTAAATCCATAAGGTTCGGTATATTAAAATCGTAGACATCCTTCATATTTGCATTGGTCAAAGTTTGATTAGTTTGCGTGCTTAAAACAGAAAGTCGACCTGAAATGAATGGATTATATTACAATTCAATTGTATCCTTGGTTTTAAAATGTGTTTTCATCCTTTAAAAATTATTAAATACTTAATTGAAGTTTTCCGGGTGCCTAAAAAACAAAGCAATAGATTGTTACAACAGCCTTAAGCTTTCGACTTCTCTAAATTACACAACAGAAACAACTAAAAGCAACAAACGCAACACGGCTCATATTCTTATTTAGGCTGTTTACTACACAGCGAAATCGCGTAGCGCGATGAAGGTGTTTATTATGCAGCGAAATCAGTCTCAGCAATTATGAGCGATTTTAGCAACGAGCGAGAGCATCCAGTGAGCGAATCACTACTAAAACTTTATGAATTAAATTAAAACGAAAAGAAAATTTATGTAACTACTACGTATTAGTCCAAGAGCCCGCGACGGCCAGACCTTCGTTATTTTATAAATGCTGAGAGCTTCTATATGTATGCCCCCAACACGGTTAATAACGATCCCAGACTATGAAATTTGGATAGTGGTGGCTTTGACAGGTACCAGGTAGTGAAGGTGTATAAAATAGCACCTCAAATTCATTACGGTATAAATAAAATTTAACAAGAAATATAAACGTAAAATTATACTAAAAAGCTGTAAAAATGAGTTTATTTGGGAAACAATCTTTAGAATAAAATGTTCATGTCAATAAAATAAAAAATCTAATAATCTCGACGCTAACAGTCTACCACTGTGTAAAAGAGAGCTTTTACAGTATTTTCTGCGAGCAAACTATATATGCGCTGAACGGAACAATGCTCATCTCAAAAATCCAACCACTTAGTTTTGTTTAGTTTTTATTTCCTACAATAAAATAATCTTTGGTTGGATTGCCTATTATACTTTAGGAACGCTGAAATGACAAAAAAAGCGCAGAGCTTAATTTTGGGCCATAGATTACGGATCTGTATACCGTTTTTGTAGATCAGGTAATTTTCCCGATACATTTTCATTTTAAGTTTGCATTGCAAATAAAAAAAACTTTAACATAGAAACAGAGACCGAAAATAACCGGCCCACTTATTGCTGTGCCACAAATTGTCATTTATTTCTTGTTAAAAAAATAAATCACTTACAATAACTTTCATAACAAGTTTTTGGCTTATCTGCATTGGTTAGACTTTTATTTGATTTGATGTGTTTTTACGTTTCGAATTGACCGTTGTTTTAAATTCTACGGTATCCAAGTAGGTATGTTAAAAATACTGAGTGAAGTGCTTCCGTAGTTTGCTTCTAGGTAGTATAGTTTACTTATTGAAGGGAAGATGGACCGAAAATCAAGCGTTGAATTCCGCAGCTTTTTTGACTTGGATACGAGTAGTGTTAAAAAAGTTTGAGTATGTAAAGTTTGTAAAACAAAATTTATAACGGTGATTATTTGAGTGAATAAAAATAGTTCTACTTACTATTCTTTATAGTTTGTTTTACTTCGTTGCATTTTCATCATATATTTTCTCTGCAGCATAATTAAATTTACTAACTCACCTTTTCAACAAAAAAAAATTCATATATCAATATCATCAATAACTGCGGTTGGCCTTTTTTATTTTCGTTTGCGATTCTATTTCTCACAGTCATTAATCGTAAGCTCCCTCGCATAAAACGCTTTCAGAGTGATATATCACAAAAAGTAAAAAATAAATGGTTAATGATAGGAAAAGTTGCAATGTGTTTAATGCTGGTTCACATTAATTATTATTATTATTATTATTTTCGGTCTCTGCATAGAAAATGTTACTCATGCGCCATCTACGAATATTTACGATTACGGCCATGTACGATATGGCGTATGAGTAACATTATTTCCCGCTCCTACTTCATACAAAAAATTATTGCATATATTCATTTGACCATTGAAAACCTATTTATTTATCCATCGATTTTCATCGTTAGTATGTACATATGTATGTCCAATAGAACTTTCTGATACTACTTTTTTTCTATTTCCGCGGTGCACGTATGTAGGAAATTTCACTTTCAACTGTGTAAGCAGACATTTGTATGCGCATAAAAATATTAATGACTTGAAAAATATAATAAAAATTAAAAACATTTTCATAGCAGTTCATTACCTTTTTATAAATTTATATTATAAGAGCGTATTTTATAAAGATGAACAAAGACACGCCAAGCTAGTAGAAATCAGCAGTAACTATTTTACGCAAATTTTTTGCTAGTCCTTCTGCTTGTTTTGATAGCAAACAAATTTTACTATTACAATTATCATAACTACTGAACGAGAACAAAGCATTTCTGTTGACGTCACGCAAATAGCTGATTCTATCAAATTTGACAAGGAAAATAGAGGTACTGCTGGNTGAACAAAGACACGCCAAGCTAGTAGAAATCAGCAGTAACTATTTTACGCAAATTTTTTGCTAGTCCTTCTGCTTGTTTTGATAGCAAACAAATTTTACTATTACAATTATCATAACTACTGAACGAGAACAAAGCATTTCTGTTGACGTCACGCAAATAGCTGATTCTATCAAATTTGACAAGGAAAATAGAGGTACTGCTGGAGGCGCCACCTCGTGAATGTGCGGCGTGCACACTTGTCTGCATCGTTGGCGTAGCTCATTTTTGGTAGAAAATTCTTGAGTATACGAAGTACAATATTTCTATTGTGTAAATTCGTGTCGCGGTTCATTACGATTAAGTACAAATAAAGTTTCGGTATTTCGATATTTGTGAAGAAGTGCAAAGAATAAATCGATCCTGGAAATCTGTGTCAATTATGGTAAGTATTTTTTAAATTTTCTTTACAAAATTTATCTTTCTTACCTACAGTAACAATAAAGACCCCGCATTTTTACCAGTTGCGGCTATTTTTCCATTGTTTGTTTACTGTCTATTATTTTTTTGAAGTGAAAACTTCTTAAGCGGGGGAGTGATTTGAAACTCGATGAAACGAAAAACGTGACAACAACAGCAAAAACAATAGGCATTTGTACGTTATTTGCCTTTAAGTGTGTAGTCATGTATGTATGTATGCTCATAGAATTCCAGCGAGTCTCGAAGTCAAATTGAAGTGATTTTGTTTTTGTTTTCTTCACTTTTATTGTCGCTTTGCCGGCGGCGCCACAATGCAGCCATACGTATGTATGTACATCCATATGTACGTATGTTAAGCTAGCCAATGCGCATTTGTGTGTTTATGTGCCGACGTAGAGTCTACGTGCGTAAATATGTCAGCGGATAGAATTCAAGCGACGGGTTGAAGTCAAATCGAAGTAATTTTGTTGTTGTTTTCTTCGCTATTCTCGTCGCTTTGCCGGCCGCTCATATGTGTGTATGTTTGTACGTGTCTTAAGCTACAATGCAAAAACGCGACTAGGTACCCCATGCACTCATGTAAAGAGTATCCCTAAGGTTCAAGGAGTATCCAAAATTAACCCAAATGCATATAAAAATATGGTCCAATTAACATTGCGATGTCCTAGGGCAGGACCATATACTCTAGCTCTGCATTAGGACACGAGTTGGGCCGCTACTGCATCACAGAGGAACATTTTGTAAGTGTGTACTGCAATATAGCATAAATGGACCACATTGTCCAAATATTTTTGCCGAATGGCCAATAACCTAATAAAATTTTGTGTTGAGTGCTCGTTCATGGCTTGAATTCTCAGATTCTCCCAAAACTGGCGAACAAATCATAAGAAAAGCAGAGGAATCAATACAAAAGCACAATCTTTCTCCACTGGTGGTACCAATAGATCGCAGGACATCCTCGATAGCCTGATAAAACCGTAATGGTAAAGCGTGACCATTTTCCTCTGGTCTCTGCGGGTGCAATCGCGAATCAACGCGAATTTTTAGCTACTTGAAACTTGCACTTTCTTAAGCTAGACTAAAACTGCATACCTAGAATTTTTCTAGAAAATCTTAATAAAAACTTTGTTGTAAAAATTGTTTGCTGAATTTTTCTAATATTTCTACAAAGTTTGAAATCTGCACTTATACTGTTTTTGTTAGATACTGAGCTGTTTTTTTTTTTTTTTAATACAAAAATAATAAACAGTAAACAAACAATGAAAAAATACCCAAACTGGTCAAAATATCGTGTCCCTATTAATTTTTACATGACTGTATGAGTGTACATAATATGTACTTTGAAAAGGAATAGACTTTTATGGATCTAAGATCTTATTTTGCATCTCTTATTTTAATCGTTTATTTAAAGTTTATATTTATAATGTGATTAAATTCAGAATCTCATCAGCTTTAATCAATGAAAAAACTTTACTTTTTAAATTAACCCTTCTGCATTGTTTGGAGTTTACCCCTTTCTTTAATGTTTTGGGTCATTTTGACCCAATAATAGGAATTAGTCAATTTTAAGAAAAAAAAACATATTTCAATTTGAATTGTTAATATTTTATATATCATGTGCAAATAATAATGGAAAAACTATGTCGCCTTCTAGAAAACAAAATATGTAAAATAAAAAACTCTTTAATTGTTTGCAAAACCATAGCTGATTGTGCTTTTAACGAATAGACAACGCCGCAGCTTATTTAAAATAACCTAACTCTGTAATTAAAGAATTTTTTCATGAAAATTGGGTCATTTTGACGCGAAGGGTTAAATTGTATTGCAAGAGTGCTTATCGCATTTGTACGTTGTACGCCACCCACATATTGACAGGTTTTGACTATTATTTTTTTATTATTTAATTTTAATAATATTTAAAGTAAAACTTCTTAGGTGACGATGTCGTAAATGGAAATGTGAAATTTTTGAAACTGATTTTGCAAAATGAATAAGAAGGAAAATATAGCATAGATAAAGGGGAAAAGAGAAAGAAAGCAACGTGTTCACAAAGATACAAAATGTGTAGATATGTCAGCACAAAGAATTCAAGCGAAGTGTCCAAGTCAAATTAAAATGATTTTGTTTTTATTTTCTTCGCTTTAGTGTTGTAGCGGCAGTAGAAATCACATCAGTGTTGAGCTAAGGTTTGTGACTT